GACTCTACAGCATGATTTCATCATCCTGCTAGGTTCATCAAAAATTATTCTTTGGTGACCAGCTGACCGTCTCCTACCATATTGTAAAGACAGCTCGATCATGCAGGTTTGCATTGCATAACATCAGGAGGATCAGGCCCTTCCAAACAGAGCATGCTGCACAACTTCTTGCCCAGGCCCTTGTCATTTCTAGGCTGGACTATTGAAATGCTCTTCTAGCTGGACTTCCATCATGCTCAATCAAACCTCGACAAATGTTTCAGAATGCAGTGGGACGACTGGTCTTCCATGAGCCCAAAAGGGCCCACTTCACACCGCTCTTTATCTCTCTGCGCTGGCTACCGGTTGCCACTCGCATCAAGTTCAAGACATTGATGTTTGCGTACAGAACAAGCAGCAACCTTCCGGTCTCTCTCGTGAAACCAACACGGAAGTGACTAAAACTGCAATTCATCAGCTAGGTGGGCGTGGTTTCAGCAACCAGCTCCTGCCTCTTTGCCCATTTTCAATTATCCGGGAGCCGGCTCCACCTACTTTAGGCTTCAAAAACACTCTTCGGAAACCTACGGGTGCCGTCACGGACACTACGTCCATGTACAGTCTATAGTACAGAACAGCCACAGGCTGTCAGACTTTGTTCCGTGTTTTGTGTGTGTCTTGCTCCCCATGTGCCTTCCTATGCCCATATTTGGTTGGTTTCCGGTTCCTGTCCTCGTCATGTGATTTTCGTTTCCTGTTGTATGTGATTAATTAAGTTAATTTGTCCCAGGTGTTTCCCATGATGTTTCATTGCTCCCAGGTGTGTCTCGTCATCCCCTCCTCCTGTGTGTATAAACAGGGTTCCCTGTGTGTGCTCCAGGGTCCGGTATTGTTTATGTCTACTCCTCGTGCTACGTGTGATTCCCCGTGAAGATTAATAAATTCCTTGGTTGTTGTACTCTTGGTCTCCTCGTTCCTTGCTCCGTGCTCCCGCACCGTAGCAGATCGTGACAGAATACCGGACCTAACTGTAAGCGGCATCCCTTCCCCGTGTTTAATTTCCGTGTTTTTTAAAGTGTTTTTTGTTTTTTCCCGTTCGTTTCTCCCCGCCCTAATGGAGGAACGAGCAATGTTTGTCGCGTTAGCCCTGGCAAGCCCAGATCCCCTCGTCTTCGCGAGGGCGTTCGTGCCGCTCGCCCTCACCAGCTCCCTCAAGGGGGAAACCCTTGCAACGCTGTTCCGGATCGGGATAACGTTCCATCATTCCACGGAGCTCCCAGACACCACCGACCTCGACTGGAAGGAGACAGTCATTCGGTGTCTGGAGAGCCTCCGATCCCGATCCGGAACCCCTCTGCCGGCCATTCCCGAGTCAAGTAAACCGGCCATTCCTGAGTCAAGTAAGCTGACCGTTCCCGAGTCTAGTAAGCCGGCGGTTCCTCTGCCAAGCCCGCTGCCGTCCGCGGCCCACTCTAGTCCTCCGCCCGTTGATATGGCAAGCCGAACGAACATTGATATGGCAAGCCGAACGAACATTGATGTGGCAAGCCGAATGAACGTTAATGTGGCAAGCCCGTTGGACGGTAATATGGCAAGCCTGCCATGCGTTCATGAGGCCCCAGAGTTGGTTCCAGCCCCAGAGCTCGCTCCAGTGTCGGTTCCAGCCCCAAACCTCACTCCAGTCCCAGCTCCTCGAATGCGCTTAGCTGTGCC